TTCTAGGTCATCGCTTTACTAAATGACCTTTACACGTGTTTTGATGCAATTATTGATAACTTTAACGTTTACAAGGTAAGTTATATTTTGGCAATGACGTAATACATACGTTACATTTTTTTAATATTGAAACATTGGAACCCGGAACAAACTAAGAATACGCAAATACAGCCGGATAACGTTCGGGTGTTAGTGAAGAGTAGATGTATACCACTTAGACATACGCACTACCACCATCATAACAATAACATATATCGTGTGTTACAGGTGGAAACTATCGGAGATGCGTACATGGTAGTATCAGGTCTGCCCATACGAAACGGTGACTTCCACGCCAGAGAGATCAGTAGAATGGCACTTGCGTTGCTGAAGGCTGTTGACACATTCAAAATAAGACACAAACCTGACGAGAAGCTGAAACTCCGCATAGGAATCCACTCCGGTAGGTCGTATGTGAAATAGTCGCGCACATGGTGTTCGTTCTAAAATGAAATAGACAACATTTGTCCCTGGGTTGAGTTATAAGACACACCTGGACAAGACCCGACGTTGTTGTCATAACAACCAATTCATTCTCATTATTAACATTTGTTCATGTTATGATAGGCATGGTATGCGCTGGTGTTGTTGGTCTTAAGATGCCCCGATACTGTCTGTTTGGTGACACAGTGAACACGGCGTCAAGAATGGAATCTAACGGCTTACGTAAGTTTTAATTACATGCACGTTTTATGTGTGTTATATCTCTGTAACATCTCCTTCTTATTATTTTATTATATAGACATATACGCAGACATGGTTCTGTATTACTTTCTGATATGAACTCTAATTAAAACAACGGTATGTTATCTTTTCTATTTTCTACTCTGTATCAGCTCTGAAAATCCATGTCAGTAAGGAGACGTATCAAATACTCAAAACATTCGGATCGTTCGACATTGTATGCAGAGGCGAAGTTGAAATGAAGGTAGGTTTTCATCAGAAATATTAGCTATACAATAATATACATGCCAACCTACAAACACATACCCTCAGCATGGCTTAGTATATCATATTGTTTTTTGGTATTAAAGTTAGATATTCTGTATGAACGAGGATTTCATTTGAATAATATCATATCTTCATGTTTGTTTATTAAAAAAAAGAAACTTCAATACATTAATGTTCTGTGTTGATTAACATATGCCTTAAGTCCAATTTTAGTTTGTTGGAGAACTCTGTGTTAGTCGTATGCTGTATATATATGCCCATGGTCTTCAACACACGCACTATCATATTCTAGTTTTAACATGTTAAGTATTTTCGTTAAAGGGCAAGGGCAAACAGTTAACGTATTGGTTAGAAGGCGAAGACCCTCCCAAGCAAATAGGCAATGGCACAACGAAATCTAATGGTTTTCTACCGACATCTGTGAAGGCCGGAAAAAACTATATCTATGCTTAATTAAGAACCACGATGTACGTAGCAATATATGTGTGCGCGTGAGCAAGTCAACGAAACAACACGCTTCACGCCACGAAGAACCAATTTATCACGTGGTAACGACGAGCAATATGTGTGACAATGTCACGATCGCTTGACGCCAAGTACAAGTTTAACTTTGGTGGAAAATGTGTGATTCCGTCTAAAAGCATTTACCGTTATATTACAAGAAAATATATTTGCAGACTTTCACTATATTGTAAATACGATACTTTATGTAATACTTTGTGTTAACGCAAACATTTATTTGATGTATGTGCTAATTTTGTCACCAATACGACATGGATTTACTAATCTAAATACTAGTACCTTTGTGTCGAAGATAAGTTACTCATTAGACGGGAGCTGCGCATGCTCTGTGAACGCACACATGCGTGCACGCTGCCAATAATATGTAAATAAGTTTAGTTGAACATATACATTATTCAGATACAAATACTTTTAAGAGGAATTTTGCAATTATGCAGTAAGTTTGTTTATTGTTATTTTTATTTAGCAAGCCCAGACACCATTTTGTGGAGCATCCGTGCTTGCATTCCGAAACATATTTGTGACGTATTTAATTTGTATATTTTGAAGTATTTTTTTAGAGGTTGTTTTTATTCCAAATGCCTTCATTTAGCTTTTTACGCGCGGGAAAGCGTTTTCTTTCCGCTTTATTTTGAGCATGTGCGATAGCAAAATTATGTTCTTGTATATTACTGTTTCAAAAGCTTTTCTGATACCTTCAATTAAGCAGAGTCACAAAAACTGTGTGATCTGTGATTTTCTTTCAAGCCATGCGGTTTTTTTAAAAAAAAAGCTGTGGCCGTCACGCTGTGTGTTCGAATTTTGATTAAACAACAATTATTTTACGTGCGCTGTATATGTCGCATGGGACCCATGCCGAACACAACGCATCGTGACGACTGTAGCGCCCTCAATACCGTCGATGGACTATCGAGTGAAGCGTACATTCAGATTCGCCAAATGTCTTACTTATACAATTATAGGTGAATAAACAGCATATGAACACGTGATCGCAAGCTAACGAATGAGAGGGAACCTGTATATTTAATTGAATTCATGAGCATTTCTGTTATATTGTAAACGTTTTTGTAATTAAGAAGATTGTGTCATATTGTACATGCTTTTGTAAATATAGAAAATGTTATTTACTGATAATACAAACACGAATAGTTTTATTTCATTAGTTCCAGAATTGCATTTCTATCATTAACGATGTAGTCCTACCCAAAATGCCTCACATCCGAAAAATGCTTAAGAATTATTTTCTAAAGTCAATACACTTTTTGCCTAGTGCCTAATGTTGCGTAGAATTTGAGAGTGTTTTTGTTGTTTCAAACAATGCCCGTTTACCAAAAGTGGACTGTGATTTTGTTGAAACAATCCACGTTTGGGTTTTAAGTTTTTTAGAACGAGATTGTTCTTAAATAGTTCAAATGGAGAATTATACAACTTTTCCTTCGCTATTTTTTGTATTAGACGTTCTTAGAATAATTAGAAGAACGATTTTCAAATAGACGAACTATGTAAACTAATGGAAACACTACTGAATGAGCTAAGCACGTGGTGTGTGGTGGGATGCAACAAGTGGCCTGATATAATTCATATTTACGTAGTGTGATATGTAAATCGTCATATACTATATCAAATCGGGCGTTGTTGGCCAAGGTCATTTTATTGCTCAATTGCTTAATCGGATGACGCAATGTACAAGGTAAGATAAAAGTCCACACAGTACAATATAAAACTTATTAATAATAGAGTCTTGGGTTATTTGTAAAAAAAAAGTCACATCGTGATTTAAATGCAATAGGTGGTGCTACAGTCACGGTACCTTCTGGCAAACCATGTGTTAACAGCTGGTGCCGTGATCACTGATGTAGTGACGTTGAATTTATAAAGTAATACTAATTTGTGCACACAGATCATGTCTTCTCTGAGACGACGATGAGTGAGACTATACAGGTTCTACTGCTTCCAGCGCTCACAATACTGAAAATTATTGAGACCAGGGTCCAGTTTGGTTGCCCTACGCTAGGCAGATTCGAAATCATTAATTAAGATGACCAGGCTGGCACACCATACTCAATGTTGGGTCCGAAAAAAAATTATCAAGGTAACATAGGTGAAAATGCACGTCGGATGATGGATCTTGTTTGTAGTAGCAAATATGTAAGTGTTGAATTTGAATACGATTTGCTTCAGACACGATTGCTAATACATGACTACTGAATTTCAAATGCTGATCAATGATCACAACACGATCCTTAGTGAATGTTAGATCATAACGCGAGGACTGGATGCTAGAAATTGAATATATAATGCCTGGGTAAGCTTTACCAATACGTAAAACTTTGCATTTGTCAGAGTGAAAATGGAGATTCCATTTTTTTAGACCAACTGTAATCACTGTCAATATCTTTCAGTAGATTTATGAGTTCACAACTGAATTAATCTCCTTGTACAATTCAGTGCCGTCAACAAATGACGTTACATGTGAACATCAGAGAATGTCTGGCAAATATATATAAAGAATAAGACTTTGTGGTATACCACGCTTAACTCTTCAGAAGATATCATTGGCGGATTTAGATGGGGGCCGAGGGGGCCGCGGCCCCATATTTTTAACAACCAACAGGGCTTCGCGAATCCTAGATCCGCCCTTGGATATACCTTTAACTACAGCACAATGCTCCCAGTTAGAAATTATCTGTTCCAGCAGCGAAGCTTACGGAAGATATCATAGCTCTTAAACTTACACAGGAGAAGTAGATGTGATGTCAAACACCTGCATAACATCAGTATAAAGGACATCCGGTCTACTATCCGTGTCTAGAATATATTTCAATTCATTCACAACTTCATTCACAACTATTTACAAGTGATAGAAGTACTACTAAACTGGTCTATAGTTTGATAATACATCTTCCTTTGATGAGATTCACACACACTTTTACCGTCCTAAAGGTGAATACTTTATCATCGACTGAGTTTTCTAAAAATAAAATAATGATAAGCGGTTTGGATAAGATACTACTAAGTTCTTTCATAATTCTTGGGTGCATAGTATCTGGGCGCAGCGGCCTTACAAAGGTTTACACTTCTTCTTAATACTATCTTTATTGAAGCTTACATCATTCTTCAATTAAGTTGAAGTGTGTGCTGAATGTACACGTCATTCCGCATGTTATTGTTATCAGCATAAGCAATATGCTTTTACTTTTAATGTCAATTTCAGGAATTGGGTCAGCTTCCTACCAGAGATTCTGTTATCGGCATACTTCCTGAACTATTTAGGATTACGTTTGACTGTATTAGCAACGTTTATCTTAAAACATGCCATAGTCTTCTTAGTTGTTTGTTTCGCCTAGTTTTTGTATTTAGTATACTGTAAGTATTTTAAGCAGCATTTCCAGGCTGTTTGTTTTCCCTTATATTTCTTGGGAGAGGTGACATCCACAATGTTTTGAGTATAGTACCATCATTACTACGATAATTTACATTTTTTTTCTGGTTTTAAATTAGTGTATGCAGTAGCTTTATATTACACACGGAATCACGCTTCTGAGTGATAACTAGGTCTTTAAACGTACCCCAGTCTCTAGTGAGTTTTTTATTTTTTTATTTTTAATTATCTTTAAGACAGGTCGTCGTTTGAGCAAGTTTATGTTGTTACATTGATTGTTTCATAAACAAAGTCACACATAAGGAGTAAATTCGATATTTTTACAGTGAAGCAGTTCATCTAGTTGGAAGTTACTATCGCAGGTCCTGGCTGGGCTACGGTATATGCAGCCAATATGGTGTCGAAAATTGTAATGTATAAAAAGTCAGTCAGTTCTGTTTGAGACCGTTT